ACTTACAGGCTCAGGGTGTCTGCGTACGTGCGTTTGGATCTTTCTTTTCTCTACACCCACACCCACTCCCACACCCACACCCACACCCACACCCACACCTACACCCACACTCACACCCACACCCACACCCAAGATAGTTTTTTTGAAAAATGATCCAAATTATTCCACACGACTGTATGTCAACTTTTCTTTGTTTTATTTTTTAAAACAACAAGGTTTTTTTGTCATAAAACACAATATATCTTATGGGATTATTTTTTGCTTGCCTACATATATAATTAAACTTAGTCAAAAACGTTTTCAACATAAAATCTTTTCTGTAAAATTTTTGAATAGAATTTCCTAAGTTAACATATAACGAATAGTTTCATATTATATTCTTTTGCAAAACAAAACAAACAAGTAACTTCAACAAAAGAAAAAAATAACGTACATATGAATAAAGTAAATATCAGTATAAAAAGTACTTTATGACATCAAACCCAATTTGAACATTGTTTCAATTAATTTCATACATCGTTGATGTAAATCATCGATGTTTGTTAAATTTTCTCGTTTAAGTTCTATATCATATAGACAATTCATAACTTCTTTTTTATAATCTGACAAATTACTCTCATTTGGTAGAATTGCTTTATCTTCTAAAATACCTTGACGGTCATATATTAACTCATAAGCCATACTGTGATTAGCACGAATCTTTTAAGTTTTTACTTTGTCTTTTGAACAACGAGATAATAATATCATATAAATTATTGATACCCAATCATCAGCACAGTAAGCTGAGACTTTACCATTTGATAGTGAATATTGTTTTAATACAGGTGTTGATGCAGTTATAAATGCACCTTCATATTCACCTTTGAAACCATTAAATGTTGATGAATCCCAATCAATTAAATATGCATAATCATTTCTATCTAATATTATATTATTTATTCGTATATCTCGATGTACATATCCAGCTTTTTGACCAATGGCTAATTGTTTTAATATTTGAATAATATATTTTGTTTTACATATATCATCATTCTTTATCATTATTCCAACTGGTTTTGATAAAACAAAACCTTCTTTAATATCGATTTCAATAGTTTTATAATTTAAATCAGATATATTCATATAAACTTTCATGTTTTGAAATATATCATATTCTTTTTTTGGCATTTTATTTGAAATTTTTATTGCATATTCAATATTATTATATAAAATTCGATAAACCATAGCATTTGCACCACCAGCTATAAACAAAGTAATCATATTTCAATAGATTTAAATGATTATATTGCTCATTAAAGAACAATAATTTTTAAAATATTTAATAATAAAATAAAAATCAAATATTCTTTTTTTTTAAATTAATAAACAAATATAATCAAATAGTCAATTATCTATTA